ACAAAAGAATGTTGTGTTCACACCTTGAGAACCCGATATGTATCTATGTACAAAGCTATCTTATTTCGCCCTGTCAGACGCCACTTTGAAATATCAGCTTAGCAGCGAGTACAAAGCAGTGGCAGACTGCCCAAGAACTAAAAAAAACTGTATGCACAGGGGGACCCGGTGCCCATCACCCGAATTTTAGCGTGGGTACTTGAAAAAAGGGTGTATTCACATTAGCGCCCAGAGAGTACCGTACTCGGGCATCGTTCCCTGACATCAAGTGTGAACGCTGCCTTAGATAAAATAATGCCGAAGTGCCAAGTGTAAGAAACAATTGCTGGATTTTAGCGAAACGGAAACTCTGCAAATTCGGCGCAATTCTTTGGTACAATTTCTGGCCCAGTACGTCATGAGCGAGAGTGACAATCACAACGAAGTTGGCGGGATTGCTTGGACTGCTTGGATAAGGGAAAGCTAGCGTACGCACATTTCACTCGACAAGAACTCGAACACAGAATTTTATACAGAAGATATACTGAGTAGTTTAAACTCCACTTTACAGATACACACTTCATTTTTCCATCTTTTGCACCGAGGTGATGAAAAAAAACTTTTAGAATCCAAACGCTTTAACTCATTCAAACCATAGGCAGCGGAAATGAGTTTAAAAAAGTAAATAATCATCATATTTGCATTTTACTACCGTGGTTAATCACGAAAATTACGAAAATAATGAAGAAACATTCTTTAAAAATTTGCCTACACGCAGAGTTTCATGACATCAGACCATGTTATGCAAGACTGGGTTTTCAATCTTGTCATCTGCTTTAGTATGCTTTGATAGTGAATCGATATTCGTCCCACAACTCTAGACAAGTCTGGTGTTCTTTAAATACTTTAGTCGTTTAGTTGGACTTCAAATAAAAATATATGTTACATTTCCATAGATCTTTTCACGTATGACTTGTCAAGAACACCAAGATGATAACAATTTCCACTTCAAATTGTCAATATGCTTAGTTAGCACAAACAAAGGAGAGGAAACGTCATTCACTCTACTGCCACGAATTATTCTGTAAGTTTTCATGTCCGTTTGTAGAATTATAAACAAAATTGAAGCACTCAATTACCTTCTTAAGACTCCTGATCAAGTATATTTTCCTTTTGAAGAGGACTGCTACTTCAGGTTCAAGAAAAGAGGTATCCTTCCTTTAATAAGTGCAAACGTTAACGTTTTCATTTTTTTTTTAGAAAGGGAAAACCCCACCAAATATTTTTTTCAAAATGTCACGACCGTTTCAGAATCATGGCGAGTACATAGGTCAAGTTGGCCCTTTAAAACCTTGGACACGTTGTTACATCAGAAAGCAACAAGGAAGTCTCGTCTGAATGTTAAAGATTTACCCATTTGATACCATTTTTTCGTTCGTACTATTATCAACAAAGAAATGCTCCAAAGTAAAAGAAGTCACACAACCGGAACATCACATCGAAATCGTTAGTGCCGTTCAAAACAATCATACGAGACAAAAAAAGAATTAAAACAGTTTTCAAGCCAATTAAATCGACTCCTGTTAAGTCATAAGAAGAATCGTCAATTGAATTTTGCGGTTTTACTTGTGAAAACGGTCACATGATTATGTGACAAGTGACGTCAAAAGTTACATCACCACCACTTATAACTGTAAAATATATTCATGTACGATATTCAGTTGAGCTTCAGATGTACCGAGCGTAGCGATTCTCGAGAAAAAAAAAAGATCCCGTTCTTGAATTTGTTTTCATACTTCAAGTCATCTCGTGAACAGTCACGGTTAAGGCCGACTAGGCTTCTTGCGGAATTTGTTTTGACTTTGGCCGCTTTTTTTAGGGCAGTTTACCGCCTCCAGAGATTTATTGCTGAGGTAAACATATTTAAAATATCAAAAGATTATTCTCGACCTTTTCTTTAATACTTGATCGTAAAAAACAAACAAGCCTCAAACAAAGATCTGTGGCTAGCACTCAGTATTTCTTTGTGTTTTTAGGTGTCCTGATTTCCTGGTTGGGCAACTGATAAGAGGGAAAGGATCGACTTACGAAATTCTACACATCACCACACTTAAAGGCGATGTAAGTTATGTTACCGTATATTATGTTTCAACAGAGCTATATTTATTTATGCGACAAGGTATGGAGCATTGTGTTGTTGCCTTAAACGTTATAATCTACATGTACATCATTCTCCATACATTTCCATTGATCGCTAATTCAAGGCGAATTTGATTGAACAGCAACACGTTTAAGTACTCATGGGTGATCAAGTCCTTAATAATTCTCATAACCTTAAAATTTGTTGTAAATTGATATAAATTAATATTATTATTGCAAATTAATATTCTGTAAATTGTAGTCAGGAGCTAATACGTACTATAGGTGAATACTAATCTATAAACTTTGTTTGAAAGTTTAAGCATCTGATAATTATTAAACAATAGTAAATTTAACTTCTGAAAACAAACTCAAAAATAAC